TGAATGCGAGTCTGACACAGTGAAACTGCAGTAGCACTCTTTTGCCAGTAGATGCCTCCATTTTGCCAAATCGAGCAGAAACTTGCGTACGCCTTGTCTGGGGTTGCCGTGAGAATGTGCGTGGCGGTACGCCAAGTTTAGTTTTTATACATCTCGACGTGAGCGTGGAAACTGGTGTGCGCAACATTTTTGTGCGTAAGCACCGTTTATACATGAGGCCCCTGGGAACTACAAACTGGTGGAAAATGTCATTTTCGAATTGTCGGGTTCTGTAAAGAAGACTATTTCTCATCTCCAACCGTTTCCATTCTTTGAGCAGCAATTTGAGCTCTAAAGAAGCAGTACTGGGGTCATGGACCACCTCGTCCCCAGCCTCTAACCAGTTGACCACCTGCCCAATGTCCAGATCAGCCTTCTGGTGACACCGTAGCTCTGCCTCGCTGTAGGTAGGTACGGTGAGGCAGCCTAACACCCCTTCATCTGTATACATGTCCAGTACCGCATCAACACAAAGGGAAAGGGATTCTACAAGACCAATACAAGGCAGGTCATCATCAACCTTGCTCAAAAGATGGCAGTGACATAAAGCCTGGATGGTGTCAGCGGTTAGGTGACTTTGGTTGGGAGATGAAGTGAGATGGTGAGAAGCAAACTGTTTCATTCGCTCCCTCTCCTCCAGAGAAACTTGGTCGTCTTTCTCAGTTGCTTTTCCAGTTCTGAGGTACCACTGTACATGACACAGCCTGAGGGTATGTGAAAAATGGAGAAGAGTGTCTTGTGTGTAAACTGCAAAAATCCTTGAATGGACTTAAGCAGTCAGTTCAAGCATGGAATTTAAAAAAGAATAAAGTTCTGCAGGATGAAGGGATCACATGAAGCAAAGCTGATCCATGTTTGTACTCTACAGATGCTGAATATATGAATCTATTACTCTATTTGGATGACTTAATCATTACTCACAAAAGAAATGAAGAGATTGCAAAGTTAACTACAGTACAAAACCAACACTTTGAGATGAAAGTCCTTAGATATGTGACATACTACCTAGGAATACAGCGCGAGGAGGATGGTAGCTTCCTACTGAATCAGAGATCCAAAATTGATACAATTCTTCTTTGGCATGACTGAAGCCAAAGGAGCAAGTCCTCCTATGGACACAGCATACATGAAGTTGGAAGGAAAGGAAGATCTCCTGCCTACTAATGAACAGTACAGACAAGCAGTGGGGGCACTTCTCTATACTGCGACCACAACACGACCAGACATCGCAGCTGCCATGTCGCTTCTTTGCAGACATGTAAGTAATCCACGCCAAAGAGACTGGAATTCCATTAAGAGAGTCATAAAGTATCTCAAACAGACAAAGGACTTGAGTTTGAAACTGTCAGCAACTGGTGATTTCAATTTTATCTGATATGCAGAGAGCAGTTGTTGCAAATCTTGAAAAAGTGGTTACTTGTTCAAATTGGGGAATAGTCCTATATCTTGGTCCAGCAAGAAGCAAATCTCAGTGGCTTTATCATCTACGGACGCAGAATACATCTCTGCTGCCCATGCCAGCTAAGAAGCTGTTTGGTTGCGTAAATTGCTTATTGATCTTGGAGAGCAAATTTCTGATTAAAAGAGAAGCTTTGAATAAGAAACAAAGACTATGTGCACATTATTTCTGTCCAGTTTTATGAAGCTTTTTCAAATAATAACCTTCCTCACTTTCTTCGATCTCAAGGAGCAGAATATCTGTTAGTACCCAGAATAGAAAGAGCTACGGCAGGCTGCAGAGCTTTCTCTTATAGAGCTCCTCAGCTGTGGAATGGTCTTTTTTCGGATGTGTGGGATTCAGGCTCACTCTTAATATTCAAGTCCAGGCTAAAAACACACCTGTTTAGTTTAGCCTATAGGGACTCTAGTTCTAGCTCTAGCTAACTCCTCACTCCCAGTTAGACCTATAGTGTGAGGTGTAGAGCTGGGTGGGGATTGGTGCCATTGGCTTTGGATGAACTGACGTGTCAGTCTGTCACTCTAGCTTCACACCCCCTTGTGGAATTGGAGTGCTGACATTTCAGGGACTCCCCATACCTGCGTTCCCACCTGCCTCTCCCTCCTACTTATTCTGCCATAGCCATATCTGCTGGAGCTTACATACTGCACTCACCTAACTGTTTGCACTGTCTCTAGTTTCCCCTACTTTGGCTAATTACACATTTTATTTCCCCTACTCCTCCTGGGCTGTGCTGCCTGGAGACCCCAAATTTTCAAGATATCCTGCCTACCCTGCTGCCTGCGACATCTCCACTACCTGTGACACCCTTCCGGTCTGCTCGCCCTTCTGCCTGCGACGCCCTTCCGGCCTGCTCGCCCTTCTGGCCTGCTCACTCTTCTGGCCTGCTCACCCTTCTGCCTGTGACGTCCCTCCGGCCTGCTCACCCTTCTGCCTGCGACGCCCTTCCGGCCTGCTCGCCCTTCTGGCCTGCTCACTCTTCTGGCCTGTTCACCCTTCTGCCTGTGATGTCCCTCCGGCCTGCTCACCCTTCTGCCTGTGACGTCCCTCCGGCCTGCTCGCCCTTCTGTCTGTGATGCCCTTCCAGCCTACTTGCCCTTCTGCCTGTCATCACCTCCCTGCCCCCCGCTTTGTGGCGGAAATGTTAAGATTGGGATAATGTAAATTAGGACTTTATCATTTTGCTCATTTGACTTCCACTACTGCCCCCTGGACGATGGGCTCCCCCTCTGAGTTCCTCCAAAAGCTTTTTCCTTCTAGGGAGCTTTTCCTTGCCACTGTTGCCTCTGTCTACTCACTGGGGGCTTTGGGCAGGGATGCTGTAAAGCGCTTTGAGACAATGTAATGTTGTGAAAACACACTATACAAATAAAACTGACTGTACATATTCATTTTATTTTTTAAACAATGTTAATCTAGTACTGCCAGACCAGATGTGTCATCACATCCTCAGCCAGGAGCAGCTGCGGCCAGCAGAGGCCGCCAGTGAGCAGCCAGAGACAGCTGTCATATGGAAGCTCCCAGCTCTGGGCTCCATCACATGAACACACCTGCTGACAATAACACTCACATACCACTTATACACCCTGTGGATAAAGAGCCCTCACTGTTTTTATAGCAGGTTAGGATGCTGTGCCTGTGATCAGAAGGCAGACTGGAGGGGAATGAAAACGTCACTTTTTTGTTTGTTACTACATCAATACCTTCAGTCATTATAAAGTCTGTGGGCCAGATTATCAAACAATCACCCCAGTTATTAATCCAAGAGGAGAAATAAATTAGATATATTTAATACAATATTAATGTATTACTGCCAGACCAGACATGATTTCCCATCCCCCCGTCACTTACAGAGCCGTCCTGGAATTCTTGACCACAGGCAGCAGCCTCCAGTGCTCTTTATCTGGTCTGATGTATTTCTTCAGATCAAATACATCCAGCTCCTCATCTGACATCAGCATCACAAAGGCCAGATATGAGAACTGTGCAGGTGAGAGGCGTTCTGCTGAAAGGTTTCCTGAATTCAGGTATCTTTCTACATCATTTACTAGAAAATTGTCACCCAGTTCAACCAGACAGTGGAACAGGTTGATGGTCCTTTCTGTAGATATATTCTCTTGTATTTTCCCCTTGATGTATTGGGCTGTTTCCCCAATGTTATGTGAGCTGGTTCTTGTCTGTCCCAGTAGCCTTTGTATCAGAGTCTTACTGGAGTCTGTTGAGAGGCCCAGGAGGAAGCGGAGGTAGAGGTCCAAGTGTCCATTCTTGCTCTTTAATGCCTGATCCACTGCAGTCTTCATCAAGTCAGCTGATGAGTTTGACAGAAACACATACAAAGCAGCGAGATATTCCTGGATGCTCAGATGTACAAAACAGTACACCTTATCCTGATACAATCCATATTCCTCTTTAAAGACTTCTGTGCACACTCCAGAGTAAACTGAAGCTTCAGTGACATCAATGTCATTCTCTGTCAGATCTTGTTTATAAAATATGAGATTGCCTTTCTCAAGGTTGTCAAAAGCCAGTTTACCAAGTTTTAAAAGGAATTCCTTGCTGTATAAATTAAGCTTGATTTCATAGTTTTTCATATACTTGTCTTTTTTTAAACTTGTCTGAAAGATCAGGAAATGTGTGTACATTTCAGTCAGAGTCCTTGGAATTTCCTCCCTGTCATTCTCACTAAAAAGCTTCTCAAGGACAGTTGCTGAAATCCAGCAGAACACAGGTATGTGGCACATGATGAAGAGGCTCCTTGATAATTTCACATGTGTGATAATCCTGCTGGTCAGGTTCTCATCACTAAATCTCCTCCGGAAATACTCCTCCTTTTGGGCATCATTAAACCCTTGTATCTCTGTCACCCGGTGGACACACTTAGGAGGTATCTGATTGGTTGCTGCTGGCCGGGAGGTTATCCAGAGGAGAGTGAATGGGAGCAGATTCCCTTTAATGAGGTTAGTCAACAGCACATCCAATGACATTTTCATTGTTACATCAGACCAGCTCTCATTCTTCTCAAAATCTAGAGGAAGGCGACACTCATCCAGACCATCAAAGATGAACAAGACTTTGTACCTAAACAGCTCAGTGTATTCAAGTGATTTCAGTTCTGGGACAAAGCGGTGAAGCAGATCAATCAGACTGTATTCATCCTTAATCAAATTCAGGTCCCGGAAAGGAAGAGCAAATATGAAGTGAATGTCCTGGTTTGTTTTTCCTTCTGCCCAGTCGAGAATAAATTTCTGCACAGAGACTGTTTTCCCGATACCTGCCACCCCTTTAGTGAGTACAGTTCTGATAGGTGTCTTACGCCCATATAAGGGTTTAAATATATCATTGCACTTGACTGTAGTATCTTCTGTTCGCCTTTTCTTGGATGCTGTTTCAATCTGTCTCACTTCATGTTCATCATTGACTCCTCCAGTCCCACCTTCAGTTATATAGAGTTCTGTGTAAATCTCACTGAGAAGTGTTGGCTGTCCTTCCTTAGCTTTCCCTTCAAATACACACTCACAGTTCTGCTTCAGGGTACATTTGATTCTGTGCATGAGTTCCTCTGAAAAAATAAGAGAAGAAAATGCACTAATTCTCAACATGATCCTGACCAGTGTGATAGGAGGATTAAAACACACAACATTAATCCCAACATGACGACCTTAACCCCTACCCAGCCCTAACCTTCACCATAAGCTACCAAACAAAATATGGGACATTTGGAATGTTTAGTTTTTTATTGCATTCACAGATGTTTGTGGGAATCTGTGAAATTGTTCCCGCACCGTAAAATAACAGGTTATTTTTGTTGGGATACCTAATCCCCCCCCGACACACACACACAAACACTTTTTACTATTTCATTGTGTTAAAATTAAGCTTTAAATTTCACATCCTACATATTTATCCTGAAGCCCCAGATATCTGTACAGCAGTTCCGGTCCTAGCTGATGTGGAGCCCTAGGAGAGCATCACCAACGGCGCCCCCTGCTTGAGGCAAAATGAAGGTGGTGCCCTAGGCGGCCGCCTATGTCGCCTATAGGACTGACCGGCCCTGGCTGGGGTGGCATTAAATCCAGCCAATAACAGCACCTAAGCCAGATTGTAACTTTCTAAACACAAAGTAAACAGCAAGAGAAATTACAGCTGGCTGGCATTCATGCACAAAACCTCCTTCAATGAGCACGTTGCTCACATGATAATGCTGTTTGCTATGCATATAAGACCAATCAATAATAAAAATGCAAAGGTTTTAAGCTATTAATTAAAAAGGGGGATGGGAACAGAAAAGCATTTTATTTGACTATTACAGTTTACTATCCTGAGACAGACACAGTGGACGGTTCATGCAGATGCAGCAGGACACTTTAAAGATAAAGTGTATTTCTGAAAATGATGCTGTAGGTTATTCCCAATCCCAAACACCTGAAAAGTATTTCCAACTTTCCCTAATGAATTTACGTTGGGAGGAACTGGCGTTAATTCTAGCTATTTTTTAAATTAGCAAATGCCAAATTATCCAAGGTAAGCTAGTAACACTATGCTCCACGGACCACAGACAGTAACACGGTAATTACTGTGATTAGTGATTATTACCTCTGTCTTTTTTCCGTTCTTCCTCCTCTCCTCTCCCTCCTTTTCCTCCCTGGGCACCGGAGGGCTTTGGTCTTTCTGAACTGATAGTGTCTGTTTGAATTATATACCATTAATAGTGTCACACACCTATCAATGGTATCAATGTCACATAAAGACGCCTACAGTGTGTGATACGGAGGGGAGGGGGGCTCCGGGTAAAGCAAAAAACATCCCTTATTTAATAAAGTTTGCTTATTTAATAAGCTTTTTACTATTTTGAGATAATAGTGTAAAACAGTAGTAAATCAATATAGTAAAAGTCAAAATCTTAATTTTCCCCCTTCCCTTTCTACCCCTTTGGAATGGATGGTGCCCCTGGCATTTTCCTGTACTGCCTATGCTACGGGCCGCCCTGATATACAGGGTTCAAGTCAATGTATTTTATATAGCGCCTTTCACTACCGAGTCCAAAGTGCTTTACATGGGCATGTTGGGATACATTCCTGCATCATTTATGCAGAATAATTCAAAAACACAGAAAAGAGAAGACAAAGAAATAAAAGAAAGAAAGTCAGATTACAGTGGACAACTGGCTGCCTAACCCCCCCCCCCCCCCCCCCCCCCCCCCCCC